ACTAGTGTCTTATTCGAGAGAGTAATAAAAACGCAGTCAATAAATTTTCCTTGTGATTTAAATGCTGAAAATTTTCTAACCGCATCTCTCGTCAATTCAGAAAAGATACATACAAACGAGAAAGAAAAGCTGACGTGAAGCTTTTGAGGAGGGGAAAAAATCTGGCTCAAGAAAAAAGTTTAACAGTTAACAGTCTTTACAGTTTAGGAACTTTATTTTAGATTTTTAAAAATTAAAAGTTTTTGATTTCAAAAATTTTAACTTTTACATTTTAGAATTAAAATTTTTACTTTTTAAATTTTATAATTTTTATTTTTCAATTTGATTTTTATGTTAATGTTTTACACCATTTCTTCCATTTTTTCAGACTCAATAGATCAATAGTGTATATATACTATAAATATTGTAGTAGTAGGCATATAGTGAGTAGTATGGTAGGTAAATAAGTATAGTAAGTACAGTAAGTAAGTAAGTAAGTAAGTAAGTATAGTATGAGTAGTAGTAAGTATATAGTTGCGGTAGTAATAATATAAATGTATTATTGACCTATTGAGTATGAATAAATTGGGAAAATGATATGTAGCTTTAAGATAAAAATAAAATTGAAAACCAAAAATTTTAAAATTTATAAAGTAAAAATTGAAATCTAAATTTTACAATATAAAAAATTTGAAATTAAAAAATTAAAAAATAAATTTTTGAATTGTAGAGCATATAAATTTTAAACTATAAATTTTCTTGCAATAGAAATTAAGAATAAGCTATTATACACAGTGTACTCACGGATTAGAACCTGTAGTGTAAGCGACCACTACAACACAACACAACACTACCGACTGACCGACTGACTGACCGACTGACCTGCTCACCCATGAAATTACTTCGCTTGCTGAAACCAAACTGACTGAAATTTAGGGTTGGGTTTGCCCTTTTATAATCTCGTAAACTGCTGGCCTGAAGCCACCACAAACAATCCCCCCCCCCTGGCTGACCCCTCTCGCAATTAGGATGTATTCCAGAAACTTCTCCCTTGTTTTCCAATGGCGGAAAATCCGAGCTTTGCGGGATTTCAGGAAGGGGTGCATTCCATCTCTTTCGGATGCAGCCAGGCGGGGTCCTTTGTTTCACTGAGATGGATGATGGACCTTACGCGTCACTGTAATCAGGACATGGAAATCCCCTGTTTTGTTTCTTTGGCGGTCCGGTCAAGAAACCTCCGGGCTGCAAAACAATGGGAGAGGGGGGATCGTAAACAGGAAAAAGAACACGGAAATAAATTATTTCGGAAACACATCCGTTACAGTGAAAAAGCAAAAAAATACTGAACTACAAAGAGATAGAGAGGGGGCGGATGGTAAAGTCCAGAGAAAGTCTCTAAGTGGGTCGAATTTTGGAAAAAGGTACCATCGCAATTACAGTGTTGTAAAAAGATTGCTTCTTCATAATTATCAAAGAAATCTCCCAGAATAACAAAATGGTTCTGGCTTCTCACGAAACAATTGTTAGTTTTGAAGGAAAATACTGAAGGTAAGTTCTAACACTGTACATAGATTATAAGTCATTTTAAACGTACAGAAGAAGGTGCACGATCTTGAAAACACTGTAATCGCGCTGGTTCGTTTTTGCTAAATGCCAATCGTTTTTGCCGCAATTCACTTGGGAATTGCGTAGTTCCACAAACAGAAGCGGTGCGTATCACGATAATATTAATATTATGTCTTGGTGAGGTATGGTATGAATATTTTTCCTTGAAATATTTAGATAGTTTTGATGAAATCGCGATTAAAATTCATAAACAAATTTTGGGGGGGGGATGGGGCACAAATTCCCCACGAAATTCCCGATTGATTTTTCTGGCTATCGATGAGAGGTATTCTACAGCTGGGCCTGCTCTCCCTAGATCAGGGTGTCTACAGGTCCGGAAAACCCGGAGATTACTCTTTTTTTAGGGTGGCTCCAGTGGCAAGGCGTGCTTTGCGATATATCGATTGTTATGCCATTTAAACCTATGGAAAATGATCGATGAACAGGGTGTTCGCTACGAACACCTTAAAAATCGATTCTTTACCATACGTTTAAATTGCAAAACAATCGAAACATCGCAATTCACGCCACGCCACTGCGTGGCTCGGAAGCACTCGTAATGCGTGTTTTTTAAAGACAGCCTGGAAAGTATGCAATCTCTTGCGCACTAATTCTTTGTCTTGCATCAACGCACGTTTTGCTTTCCTTCTCAATCGTTAAAGTCTCCTAGTAATTCTGTCGCGCTAAGGAAGAACGCCGTATGAGCATTCGAAACTTGCAAAATTTCCTTCAGTAAAATGTTCATTTTTGAGAAAAGTTATGAACATTTTTTCTTGAAATTTTCAGGAGCTTTAGGTGAAATTGCTAACAACATAATCTGAAAAATTGGGAGAAAAATATTCATACATTTACTAGGAAATTCGTGTTTTATCAAAGGAAATATGGGATCGCCTGAAGGTTCATACGGCGTTTTTCCATAGCACGCATCGCATCGCTAGCAGTATAGGATCTATGGTTTGTAACCATTGTGGTACACTGCACCGTTCCGAGTCTATCACAAGGGGACTTTAACGCAGGAGTAGAAAAGCAGAGAAGCAGGAAACTTTAGGTGAAATTGCAAACAACGTAATCTGAAAAATTGGGAGAAAAATATCTAAGTTTACCAGGAAATTCGTGTTTTATAAATGAAAATTTGGCAACGCCTGAAGGTTCATACGGTGTTTCTCCTTTGTACGGCAGAATTTGCCATGGAAGATTCGGATGAACACCGGCTAAAAATAGGCGGATTTTCATCAAGTTCGACACAATTTCATTTCTGTCGATCGTATTAAAAAATTTCCATCGGAAGTTCCAATCTTATTATACTTTTAATTTTAAATCATCATAATTTGTTCAGCTTGAACTAAAACTCAACTTAAAACAGTGCTCAAAAATAGGGCAAAAATTCCAAATCTGTGGTGAGCGCCATCAGGCATTCCTAGGATCGGGCAACCGATCTTCTCGTTTATCAGGAATCTAGTGGTAGAATTGAAATTAATTTTTTTTTCTTTATTCAAAATATAGAGAACTAAAAAGTATTAACTCTATTTGCTATAACTAAAAATTATAATAAGACCATTTAGTTCGGATCTTTCGATAAGAATTCCTTGCAGGAGTCTGAACTTTGATAAATATTTTGTATTTAAGTAGAAACGACCGAGAGAACTGAGCACGAGGATACTTTTGGTTCATAGATTGATTACCTAATTACTGAGATACGAAAAAATTATTTAATCCGCTGAATCACATGTGTTGAAATAGGAAATCAAGTTCAGCGAATATTGTATAACACAATGTCTAAAAGGTAGTAGCACTGAATATTTTTGCATGTATGGTGTAGCCAAGTGCTAGAGATAATATTACAATTTTATAAAAAAAGACACTTACATAAACTTTGACCGAGGTTTTTCGAAGGGCGAGCGCTTCATCGTCAGGGTCACAAAGTATATGTCTCAGGCAAATAGTAAAATCAGGCATTTTGTCAAATGCCTAGGCAAATAATAAAATAAATTAACTTAGATTGAAAGGAGGGGTATCGTTAAGGGCCTTTTTTGGGCCCACCCTGAAATTCCTCAACTCCGCGATTTTTTGGTCATTGAAGGTCTATATTTTACGGAATGCATAATGGTTTGGTCATTCTAGATCTATCTCGGGGTCTACCACTGGCATGATCCGAAAAAAATGGCGCAAAATCACCTAAACGCGAATTGTTCTCGATTTTCCCGAATAACATGTGGCAACGCTGAGCCACAGCGGGAAATAAATACGTAAATAGATAAAACATGCATAAAATCCCTACTAATGTGGCCCCCTGCGTGTGAAAAATAAAGGTTTCTGAACTTGCGGAATGTTCTTGACGAGGAACAGCCTCCGAATTCTGAAATACTATGTTTTCCGTGAATTCAGGCAATAAAATATGGCAACACCGGCTTTTTTGGGGGGCTTTGAATCTAAAAAAGTTTTTTGAGGAAGGTTTTGACCACCCACGTCCATTTATTGTCAAAAAAATTAAACTCTGGCGTAAGATGAGTCGCTTTTTTAAGCCATTTTAAATAACGATGAAAAACAGGAAAATTCTAAAAAGTTTTTTTTAACAATGAGCGCAAAGTTTGACATCAACGAAAATTGGCCAAAGTGACTCTCTTACGTCCTTAATGAACATACTTGAAGGAATTTTTTGTCCTCCGAAGGGATCGGTATGAAACAGCGCTTTGAATGCCGAAAAACCCGCATTTTTCGCCAAAATTGGCCTTCAGACCCATGTTTAGGCCAGTGATAGACCCCGAAATAGATCGAAAATGACCAAACCATTATGCATTCCGTAAAATATAGACCTTCAATGACCAAAAAATCGCGGAGTTGAGGAATTTCAGGGTGGGCCCAAAAAAGGCCCTTAACGATACCCCTCCTTTAAAATGTGACGAAATAAACATCAAAATTTGCAGTTTTAGTTACAAATTTCATGTCCGACCTCTCTAACTGACTCGATCCACTGTGCGTCGTAAGATTAGTAGGAATTTACACAATGGTGAACGATACCAGTCAATTGGCATAAGTTAGTGCGCCTTCATTTTCAACTGATACTGTGCAATACTTCTGTGGCAGAATAGTTGCTCGGAGCGCCTTTGAGAGTATTGCCTCGGCTTGATGGCAAGAAATCACGATTTCCGCTGAAATTACACTCTGACGCGTGTGCAGTGATACAGTTTCTCATCACTGACGGCGAGGTAGAAACCATTTATACCTCAATTTGCGACGTTGCAAGTTTTTGACTGTCTATAAATATAATATAATTTTAATGTTTCATTGGTTTATTGATGCTTCCGATTAAAAACCGGCGTTAAAGCGAGGGTTATCACGTGCTGTGAACAACAGGGTAGGAGTGAACGCCTTTAATCAAGCCTCATTACTCTTCTGATGTCGTGCCTATTTTTTATCTCAATACCTCAATTGTCGATGACAGAAATTGACGGCTCAATGTGCATTTGTTCTGAGGGGCTTACATAATTTCAGTCTTGCTTTAGCGTTCAGTCTTATTTTATTTTGCTCCCCTGACGTTTGCAACGATTTCTCCCGCATTTCACGGACCAGAACAAAAACATAAAATCTTTAAGATTATAAAACTGTACAGGACGTTAATTTTACCTTGAGTAGTTTACATTCCAGTAAGTAGTCGGACTGTCGAAAATAATATGGACGTGAGGTGAGCTCTGTGGGTGGATGCATAAACTGAGGTATTGGTTGTATATAATGTATTCTATTCATGCACGTACTTGAAGGAATTCAGGATACAAATGCATGTACCTAAGCGTTTAATACTATTTGAGATCAACTTCGAATTCCAAAAATTTTCACATCATAGGAGTCTGGGTTGAAAAAAAAGAACGACGATTTGAACACCAACGCAATTTCTTGTAAAGTTTATGAAACTTTCATGACGCAGAGAGGAAAATCAGGAAAGTTTTGAGGAAATGGACGTATTTCTATTAAATGGAACTAAGCGCCATCAGGTGGTGGAAGAGAGAGGGGGGCTTGGATTGGCGGGTATCGCGGAACGCGATGCTCGTTCCGTCCTATACTCGCAATGCTTCTTCATGGCGCTTAGTTCCGTTTGACAGAATGCGTTATCCGGGATTCTATAATCCTCAAAAGGAACTCAATTTGGCGCTTAGTTTCGTTTAACAGAAATACGTCCAAATGGACGGAGCTATGTGCATTAAAACATGAGTTCTGAGACCTATAAGAATATCGACGGTGAAACTACCAAACCACGTATCTCGGTTTGCGACGTCGCAGACTTCCTGTCATACTTTATTTTTTAAATGAAAAACTACTTAACGTCCAGTCTTGAAAATTTGTGTGATTTTTCCTCTTCGTGCGGAGAAAATTCTGTGAAAATTTCAAGGAATAATATTGATTTGGTATACTTCAAAAAAATAAAATGTGAGCGTAGATTTTTAAACACCGCAAACGAGATACGTGGTTTGGTAGTTTCACCGTCGATATATGCATTACAGGGCTCACGTCACAATGAACATAGTTCCGTTTGATAGAAGTACGTCCAAATGACGTCGAGTATTTTTCAAATTAAAAAATAGAGGATGAAGGGAAACTGTGCAACGTAGAAAACTGAGTTACGCGTTTTCATTATTCCGTAGTTTCACCGTCGAGTTGGTTAATTACCTACAAGAATTAAGAAAACGGAGGGTTGCAAAATTGCAATATAAAATACGCATTTTTCGACTTCAGTCATCGATACGTTACTGATTTAACTCTACTACAAATAAGTCTTTTTTCAAAGCTTTCAGTGTGCACGGACTTTTTTGAACTCCGTATGAACATTCGTACGTTCCCAAATTTCCTTTGATAAAACACAAATTTCCAGGAACTATTTTGAACATTTTCTGTCCAAATTCTTAGAGAATTTTCTTACAATTAGTAATGTGATCTAAAGTATCTCATAATTTCAAGAAGACATTTATAATTTACAACTTGGGAATGTGAACTCGCCAAGGGAAACTCGGCAGCGATCGAACATTCATACGTTACTTCTCCTGAACAACGTATCGTTCAAATGTGTCCATTGATTTCTTTTTTTTATAGCTCAGACATGGTGAATCTTATGAAACGCCTTGGATTTCTGCTTCAGATTTTTTTTGCGTCACTTTGCTCAACCGTGCCACTGAAACTTAGAAATCTGGAGACTGAATTTATGAATTTTAAAGTAAGTCAGTCTCTGTAGTATTCTTGCTATGCCGATAAATATACCTAGGAATGGCCTTGACATAAGTTCGCTCATTGTCAGTATTTATGCATTAAGTATCGAATATTTCGTCAATAAAGAAGCCGGAAGTCCAGTTGAAATAGCATGATCGATCGTTCCATGACCCAATTTTTTCTTTTCATCGTTTGTTTGTCTTCTCGTAATTTTACCGGCCTGTTCATGTAGTCATTGAGAGTTTGTCAAGTAAGTTCGTTGGTGTAGGAAAAATAATCCTGTGTACCTGAGAATTTAAATATATTGTCACCGCAACCAATGATAGCAATTTTAACTCAATTTTATTCGGCACCGTAAAATCAGACTATAATAAAAATATTTGTCAGCAGTAAGTAAAATGAGTTGTAGGTATAATTTGAGTAGATGTTCCGCGGTTCGCAATGTACACTGTTCCTGGGCGGTGTATCCATCGTGAGCCTGTAATTCGGGGGTATTTTGAATATTTTGTACCCCTTGCTAAAATCATTCACTGAAAAAAAATCTCGGTGTATTTACTAAGAAAAGGGTGAAATTACCAAGAATTCAGTGTTCTATTTGATCCCAGTTTTTTCTTGGTAAAATTACCATTCATGGAATTGGTGATTTTACCGAAAAATCTCGGTAAAATTATTGAACTTTCTCGGTAATTTTACTGGACCTTGGTAAAAACGCCAATATTTTTTATTGACAGTGGTAGAATTACCGAGATAAAATGGCAAAGTTACCGGGAATTGATTACCAATAAAAGTGGTATTCTTACCTGAAAAAACAGTAGAAATACCGGTTTTTAGGTAAGCTTACCAGTCTGTCTTGTTAAAATTACCAATAATTGGTAAAAAAGTGAGATGGTACAGGTACCAACGGACCTCGGCGAAAACACCGAGAATTTTATTTCAGTGTTGCTTAAAAGAAAAATACTTCATCATCTGATGTGCATTAACAGTGGTCTTGGCAAAAAAAAATTCGATAAAAATGTACCCAAAAGCGGTTTGCAGGGGGTGGGTTTATGGTGCTGCTACGTGTGAGCTGCTTAAAATCGTGAAAATCAAAATCTTGGCTAATCCTAATTTCGAGATATCGCAATTTGAAATTTTCATTGCAAATGCAAATTTTCTACTGATTATGATTCGCTTTTTCATTGATTTGTCTGTTGAATCGGTGTTGATCGGTTCACGTTTTTTGCTCGACTCATGTCGCGATCGAATACGTACCCCTTCGTTACATGTAGACTACCTATCATACTCTTTTTATTTAACTGAACACTTCGCCTTTTGCTGCGCCTGCAACAGTTGGAGTGCATTTTGCACAAAGGAATCAGGAGCATTGTTGCTAAGATTGTGCGCAACTTCACCCATTGCGGTATAATGCATGGCTGGATTTACCTACATGCCGCCCATGGGTCGCCTGTATTTTGCCGCCCTTTTCTCATTCATTTTGAAACATCAATACAAACCATCAAGTGAACGTGCCAGAGGGAGAGGGGTGCATAAGACGCGTTCACTCGTGTTGGACACATTTTTTGCGTAAGCCCTGTCAACACTACTAGCAAAAGTTCACGGAACTTCGCGGGAAAGTTCAGTGCCATAAACCTATCTCTGTGGAGACAAGGCCTTTCATTTGTAAGAAATGAACTAAAAAATTAAGAAAGAACAAACATAAATGTGTGGTTTATTAATTTTAACTTCCGCCGCCGCGCCATGCCGCGCTGACCACACTGTGTTTGGCGCAATGCGTGAAGTATTCATGTAATCTTGTAGGCACTGTGCGTTTCACGCCGCGCCGACCGCTGTTGACCGTGCTGCGTTTGACGCAATGCGTGAAGTATTCATGCAGTCTCGTAGGCGCTAATATGTGTTACATGCCGACCGCCGCGTCAAGGGCTTCTCCTTTTCATCTCAAGTTCTCGTCATCATTTCTCTTTGCGCCGCGCCGCTCCAGGCCAAATTACGTGTTTGCTTTCTCTCTTAACTCAACTAATTAAAGGTGCGCAGTCTTTTGTAACGACAAAATTAGAAATTAATGAACTCTCAGGAAATGAGAGATTTTGTCATCTCTTCTTGTTTGTAATTTTTTTCTAAATCCGATTTTTTTATACCTGCATTTAAAAAAATTGCAAAATTTGCCGCCCCCTAATTTGGCCGCCATAGGCCGCGGCCCATGTGGCCACATCCCTAATCCGGCTCTGGTATAATGATTTATATACCGAAAAAATATGAAATTCATATGGAAATTTTTGCCCTAAATTTATAGTTTTTAGCGAGTAAAATAGAAACTGAGTAAATAGTGATAATCAGGAATCCCTTCCAAGACAAAAGGTGCTGCACAATCTTAGCAATATTGTAATGCTCCTGGTTCTTTTTTGCAAAATGTAATCCAATTGTTGTTATGAATATGTTGTGCGTGATTTCAGCTTATTACATACTGGACTCTGTGAATCCGTTTAATGTGCGGAAGTAGAGCACCCTGTCGTAGAACAACAGAAGTAAGATTGAATGAATCGCTCAATCCTTACTTCGTTCGTTCTCCAACAGAGTGCTCTACTTGCACACATGAAACGCCTTCAGAGAGTCGAGTATGTAATGTGCTAAATTCAGCATGCACAACATATCTGTAACAACAATTGCTGCATACCCAGCTGAAGGCTAATTGCTTTCGCACATAAAACGCCTTCAAATAGTCAAGTTTGTAATGAGTTGAAATCAGCCCGCACAACATATTCGAAACAAAAATTGCCGCAGACGCAGCAGAGGGCGAATTGTTCAGTTAAAAAAAAAAGAGTATAAGAGGTAGTCTGCATGTAGCGAGAGGGTATGCATTCGATCGCGGCATGAATCGAACGAAAAATAAAATCGTGAACCGATCGAGATGGATTCATAATGGACAAATTGATAAAAGAGCGGATCATAATCAGTGGAAAATTTGCATTTACTATAAAAATTTCAAATTGCGATATCTCGAAATTAGGATTAGCCAAGATTTTGATTTTTCGCGATTTTAAGCCCACAAGCACCAGCACCATAGACCCACCCCCTGCAAACCGTTTTTGGGTACATTTTTGTCGAATTTTTTTTTTGCTCAAGACCACTGTGCATTAATACATTATTCAAAATTTAAAATTTTATTTGTCAGGAAATCGACGTACAGAAAAATGCATGAGAAAATTGGGGGAAATGACGACGAACGCTTAGACTTTATATTATGATAATATTAAGAGAAATGAACTTACATGACTGTTATTTTACGTGCAAGTGAGTTAAGTGTTTTATCGATGATTGTTAGTCAAAATGCAGCCGTGGAAGGCTATGAAGGTACAATATTAAAGCTTCGTTTAAAAGGACTTTAGCTCAGCGTCTCGCGTGAGAACGTAAGTAAGAAGGTACGGCTCAAGTATTTTCTCGACACCTTTTTCATGGCAAATCGTCAAATGAATGAATGTTTCTCCATCATCCTTCCGTTACTTATGGGTTTCGTCTCTGAGGGGCACATCACCTCTATTCCCGAGCAACCCGCTTCAGATCGGCGGGAGCCTATGATGTCAGTAGCCTTCAGGATGTGCCGAGAAATAGTCAGAATATCGGATCAATCATTATTTTACTTATCCCAATTTGATTCGGATCCGATGCATCTCATTCGGCAGTTACACGAGGCCTCTATTCAAACCATCTCAATTTCCCATCGAAGCGAATTGAACAGGGCGGTCGTGGGAGATCACAGAAAAAACATGATCTTTATTCTCGAAGACATCCATGAATTAATGAGTCTTATGATGTACACCATAGCAGACAAAAACTCCCCAAAATTTAGCTATGATACAGCATCAAGACACAAGAAAAATGGAAATGCGTCGGTGGGAGGCTTATCTCGCCACTGCATCAAAATTGACGAACGTCTTATCCTGCCTAATGAGATATATGATGAAGAGATCAGTATTTCATTTGAAGAACTTGAAGGAGGCTCAATTCTGTCGCCCCGTGTATTCAATGCAACTCGAGGTTTCCACGGTAGCAAAATCTGGAATTCGAGAAACTATATCGTTTTCATGTTGAAGAACACCGTGGAAAATTATGTCAGCCGAGAGCACGAGATCCAACCGCCGCGTCGGAAATGGGCAAATGAGACACATGATCGACCTCAAATCGACATGTCAGAGAGTTTGATGTTTTGCTTTAAATTTTTCTGGCGTTTCTTCAAAGGTCAAAAAACAATAATTTGCCATCCTAGCGGCTGCGAAAAGTACGACCCGTTCACGGAGAACCTCATTCCATACGGGATCGAGGCAAAAGAGAGTTTTTTCGACTTTTCTTGGTCCAACATGCATAGAAAACCTGTGCGAATAGCTGAAAGTTTGGCCGAAATAAAAATGTCCAGCGGCTACCGCGATGCTTTCGACTATTCTACTGTATTTTTTGTCAATGTCCTTAATCACTTCAGAAATTCTGTTAACTGCACCCTGGTGTTTCTCAACCGCGAATTGCCTGAAGAGGATTTTGATATTTTATTTGATGAGATTGAAGCCGACTTGAAATTTGACGTTGATTTGCACCGGTCTGCAATTTTGGTCAGCGCCTACGGAATTGATTACTCCAAACTCGATTTTTCTGTGAGCTTCGATTTTGGGGCTGTGTGCATCGCCGTTCCGCACAGCGGTTTCGTGTCGCAAGGTCTCGTAATTTTCAAAAGCTTCTCGCCATGGGTTTGGATAATTACTCTCATTACAGCCATCCTTTATATCTTGAGCCAGTTCATTTTCCAATATTCGCAGTGCGGAGCATTTCATCGTCTCTATTCGGAGGCAGAAATCGATCATTACAGAGGCACATCCTCGATTCTGACAATTTACGCATATTTCATCTGTGGCAGTCCGCCATGTCTACTCCTTGGTCGTCTCTTTACTGGGAAAATTCTCTTTCTCATCTTCAGTTTCTCTGCACTCATAATCTCTACTGTTTTCGTGAGCGGCATGACGACGCTGCTGAGTGAAAGAGTCTTGAAAACGGAGATCAGCTCTTTGAAAATGTTGGAGGAGTCCGACCTTTTCATTCAAACGGCGAAAGTTTTCAGTTACACACACGACCTCCAGATTTCCTTCGACGAACAAAACATATCTGCAGCGTTGAAGGCGAAGTTTAGAGACGACCTACTATTTTATACGGATGAGGTGATAGGCCAGGTATATTGGTTCAAGTATCTTTCCCCGAATTCCTCGAAATTCATAGATGTAAATAAGCCTCTCGGAACTGAGAGCATCGATAGAAGCGTGATCGAAAAGGTGCAGGATAATATCCGTTCAATAGCGACGACGGATGCCTTTTTGGTGCATTTACCGATCTCAGCCGCCCCGAAAGAAAGCTTATTCATGCGACACATTTTCATGGAGGAAGATTCTGAGTATCACCTGATTGATGAGTGTCTCATGAAGGATCCATTGATGATTACATTCACGAAACATTCCTTTTACTTTGATAAGCTGAATCTAATGATAGCACGACTTTTGGAGAGCGGACTCGCCAGGAGGTACCTGGAAGAAATTCCGAGCGATATGAGATTCGCTGCCCCATCCGCGGCACCTGGTGGTAAAGAGCCGCGTTCATATAATTTAAATGATCTACAATCAGCTTTCATTAGTCTCATTGTAGGACTGTTCTTAAGTTATCTAGCTTTTGTTGGTGAACTTTTTATCGATTATTTTCAAGATACAACCGTTGTCAAGCGTTTCAAAAGTGCTTTCTTTTAAACAAAATGTATATAATTGACTTTGAAAGTATGCGAGCATCTCCCGTAAAAAGAAGGAAACTTAATAGAAACTGAAGAAAAGAACAAAAAAATCACATATTTAACGTGAAAAACTCTGTTTTTATGATGAGGCCTTAAGCCGACTTACTTCATACTTCGTTGCTGAAACAATTTGTGGGGGATCGCTCATTTTAATTGAAGCATGCGGCAGATTTCTCAGATACTCTGAAACATCAAAAAAATAAGAACAATGTGAATAAACAAGAAAGTCGTACCTCTAGGAATGAAAATTTTCGGGAAAAGAAATGTGGATCATGGAAGCAGTCATAATTTGTTTCACATTTATGTAACCCCAACGAACTCTTGGTGAAAAGCAAATAGAGCAAGTATGAAAAAAGATGTGTCTTTTTGGCTAACATAAATGCTCATAACTTGACATATTGCTCTAAGAGGCGAGATTTGAAGACAACCGACGAAATGTAACACAAAAAATCCTCAAGTAGGCAACTATTTCCGCCCGGAAAATGTGTTTTGCCTACATCGAACATTGAAGGCGAAATATCGCTGAGCATAACCTCCAACAATAATTCTGTTTCCTTTCCTTTCGTTGGGAAACGCCATTGTATGTTCCAGATCAATTTCAATAAATCTTACTCAACAGTAGATGAAGAGAAACTTCGTATGGAAATTTTCAAGCAAAACTTAATGAAAATTGAAGAGCACAATGAGCGGTACAGGCGGAACGAAACCACTTTTGAAATGGCAATGAATCACTTTGGTGACTATGTAAGTATGATCCTGCTTTAGGTCCTTGAAAATGTTTATTAATAAGGAAAATACTACGGACTGACAGTAATAATAATAATATGAGTCAAAATATCCTTATCTCCTGAGCCTCGGGGTTTCAGATGTAGGAAAAGGTTATAGGATTTTTTTTGGTAGTAGAAAACTATCCTGTAGCTAAAGATTTATTTAAAAAATATACGTATCTACAGACATGGACTAAAGCTTTATTACATGATCTAATTTAAGATATCGGAGAAAAATATCTGCATACTGTACGTCATTAGTAGACTTATGAGAAAAGATGGAGTCCCAATTTTTTTTCGAAACATGGAGATTAAACCCCCCCTTCTCCAAAAACCATTTGTTGCTTTGATGCAACTTAGTGCTACTGAAGATTAAAGCCAAAAACCATTTTTAGCTTCCATTTTACGCTGTCAATAAAAGGTAAATACCATTCGATTTGCCTGAAACATGGCACATGATGTTTTTTGATCGAATGGATCAAGCTTAGGAGTACTTGAGACGAAAACCAATCTGAAATCAGCCTGCAAATTAGACCACCGATCTGGAAGCACTCAAAGCATGGCGATGGCTAAAGTCAGGGCCGGATTAAGGGGGGTGGCCACATGGGCCGCGGCCCATGGCGGCAAATTTAGGGGGCGGCAAAGTTTGCATTTTTTAAAATGTGGGTATAAAAAAATTTGGATTCAAAAAAAAAATTATCAATGAGAAAAGGGGACGAAATCTCTCTTTCCTGAAAGTATAGTAATTTCTAATTTTATCGTTTTTCGGCGATAAAAGAGACAGCATCTTTAATTAGTCGAGTTAAAAGAGAAATTAAACACGCAATTTTGCTTGGAGCTCAGCGCCGAGAGGAATGATGGCGAGGACTTTGAGATGAAAAGGAAAAGCCCTCGGCGCGGCGGTCGGCATGTAACACATGTTAGCGCCTACAAGACTGCATGAGTACTTCACCCATTGCGCCGAACACAGTGCGGTCCGGAGCGGTTGGCGTGAAACGCATAGCGCCTACAAGACAGCAAGAATACCTCACGCATTGCGCCAAACGCAGTGCGATCAGCGCGACGCAGCGGCGGAAGTTAAAATTATTAAACCACATTTATGTGCTTTCATAATTTTCTGGTTCATTTCTTATAAATGGAGGACCTTGTCCTCACAAAGATAGGTTTACGGAACTTAACTTTCGCGCAAAGTTCCGTGAAATTTTGCTGGTAGTGTTGACATGGCTTTCGCAAAAAATGTATCCAACACGAGTAGGTAAACGCGTCTTATGCACCCCTTTCCCTCCGGCACGTTCACTGGATGATTTTTTTTGATGTTTCAAAACGAATGAGAAGGGGGCGGCAAAATACAGACGGCCCATGGACGGCAAGTATGTAAATCCGGCCCTGGCTAAGGTGCAAAACCACGTATCTCCCTTTGTGACGCTGCAGACTTCCTGCCATACTTCAATTTTCTTTGAAAAAGTAGTCATCTTAATTTCTTGAAAACCTCCTTGAATTTTCCCCTGGGGCGGCAGAATATTCTGTAAAAATTTCAAAATAAAACAGTTGGCTCTTGTTTCCCTTCCGAAATATAAACTAAGAGCGGGAATTTTGAAACACCGCAATGCAGATACGTGGTTTCGAACTTTGGTCATCAATATTGATATTATGCAAGTGACTCAATTTTTCCGTAACGATCACTTACGGCCCTCTTGTTCTACGCTATTAATGATGATAAAAATGTCATTTTTCTTACTTCATTTCTGTTTTATTTTTAATTTTAGATGCACCACGAATATCACAAACATGTGCACGGGTATTTAGGACGGGATCTGTTTCGGAATGCGGTTGGCGGGCAACCGGCAGTGATGGCGATTTTGAATGCGTCAGTAATGACGTCAGAGCCAGATGCACCGGTGTTTCTGCCGCCGGCCAACGTTAAAATCCCGGATGAGGTGGACTGGCGCGTCCTGGGGGCCGTTACCCCCGTCAAACACCAGGGTCGTTGTGGAGCCTGCTGGGCTTTCAGCGCGGTAAGTGGCCGTTCATAACATTCGCTGTAACGTCAACGTCAAAATTCTGGAAGGGTGTGGATTCGATCGACATGAATCGATATGAAAATAAAAACGTGAATCGATCGACAAATAATGAAAAAACTGCAGGCTGATCGTTGAAATTTATGTTGGCACGACAAAAATTGAAAATCGATGTATTACATGGCGCAGATAGGGCTATGTCTTCAGTGGCGTGGCGTGAATGATCGATTATCGATATTTCTGCAGTTGAAGCTATGGTAAAGAATCGATTATCGACAAGTTCGTTGCGAACACCCTGTTTATTGATCATTTTCCATAGGTTTGAATGACAGATCAATCGATATATCGCAAAGCACGCCACGCCACTGTATGTCTTTTCTTATCTTGACGACAAATAAGCCTGTTAAAGTTTCAGCAATCAGACTGCGGAGGTGTCGATTCCGACCGGACTGACGGAAAAAAGTGGTGGAGGTTAAGACCCAACTTGGGTATTTCTAATTAATCGTGGTAGTATACCCCGATATAAATGAGGTCATTGACCCAAATATTGCAGTACTACCCCAACTTGAGTTGCGATACCACAATAACTACGTTGAAAATGCCCATACCATCGAACAAAATGGGGTCGTACCACAATTTCAGGGGACTACTCCTCACAATTTTTTTTTCCGTGGACCGATTCCGATCTGGTGATGTGAACCAATCGATGTAATTCGATCGACACTGATTCGATTGACAACCTTGAATAGATCGAACAACCCATGAATCGATCGGCAAACCTATGAACCGATCGAGGAACCTGCGTAAACCCAGAAACCCAGAAACCAAGAAATCGATCCTATTACTATCCATTTTTCCTTAAAAATAATTATTAAATACTTTTTTTATGTACTATATACATGTAAGTTGAGAGAGGCCAGTCATAATGCCTGCAATTTTATACATACATATTTTTGGGCGAAATGAGAGACGACGTTTCTCCATTTGCGACGTTGCAGACTTCCTTAGAAATTTTATTTTTCTTTCGAGAAGCTGGTCAACATAAAAGTTAAATTCTCCATGATTTTTTGCATTCCATGGCAGAAGATTTGGTTCAAAATTTAAAGTCGTAAATTTGGATTGTTTCTCATGGAAGCGATGAATTAAGAACGGAAATTTTGAAACACCGCAATGGAGATACGTGGTTTCGCACTTCAGTCGGACCGATACGGACATCCGTCAAGCTTAAATAGTTGCATCAAGTCCCTGTCACCGCCGAACAACGCGTTTGTCGATCGAATCAACTACAGGTAGCATGCGTAGGAAGTCAAAACGCCTTCAATTTTTTTAACGCAATACGGACATCCGTCGAGGTTGTATAGTTGTATCAAGGCGCCGTAGCAAAGGCGTCCCATTGTTTATCGTTACAGCTGAATATAAGTTGAGAGAGGCCAGTCATAATGCCTGCAATTTTATACATACATATTTTTGGGCAAAATGAGAGACGACGTTTCTCCATTTGCGACGTTGCAGACTTCCTTAGAAATTTTATTTTTCTTTCGAGAAGCTGGCCAACATAAAAGTTAAATTCTCCATGATTTTTCGCATTCCATGGCAGAAGATTTGGTTCAAAATTTAAAGTCGTAAATTTGGATTGTTTCTCATGGAAGCGATGAATTAAGAACGGAAATTTTGAAACACCGCAATGGAGATACGTGGTTTCGCACTTCAGTCGGACCGAAACGGACATCCGTCAAGCTTAAATAGTTGCATCAAGTCCCTGTCACCGCCGAACAACGCGTTTGTCGATCGAATCAACTACAGGTAGTATGCGTAGGAAGTCAAAACGCCTTCAATTTTTTGAACGCAATACGGACATCCGTCGAGGTTGTATAGTTGTATCAAGGCGCCGTAGCAAAGGCGTCCCATTGTTTTTCGTTACAGACGAATACTGGGTGTACCAAAAGTCCGTCCCACCCCTGCTAACTTTTGAAGGAATTAAGGTAGGGTAATGAAACTTTGGGAATGTTCTTATCTGAAAGGGGACCATATTTGGGGGGGTGGTCAAAATTTTGGTCTCCTCTCAGGGGGGGGGGGCGAGGGGGCCCCAACTTTTTTTTCAAATAGCAACTCCTATCTTGTGATACCTCATTCGAAAGAGCATAACAAACTTAGAATTTTGGCGCAAACCGCAGATCAATATCTTAATTTTTGACCGGGTTATGATAGGTCAAAGGTCAAATTTGACCTATTTTCAAAAAATCATAACTCCGGTTCAAATTATCGTAAAGAAAAAAATTAATTGGGAAAATTTACCAAATTGTGTTCGCTTTTAAGTAAAAATTGCAGAAGTCACTTTGATTTAATTTTAAGGTGATTAAATTTGACCGTTTAAATTTTGTTATTTTTAACTTTTCCCGAAATTTGGGGACTTGCCAACGTAATGTTGAACTGATTTTGACCTTACTGAGATAATAAGGAGGCAAATCTAGGGGAGATTGGCTTATTTCGCGGGAAAATTAAATGACCTTTGAATTGACGTATTCGGGGGTCCGAGCCCCCCCCCTTAAAATTAAATAAAAGTGACTTCTGCAATTTTTACTTAAAAGCGAACTCAATTTGGTAAATTTTTCCGTTTAATTTTTTTTTTTTTACGATAATTTGAAATGTTGTTGCTCGCTGAAATTGTTATGCTCTTTCAAATGAGGTATCACAAGATAGGGGTTGCTATTTGAAAAAAAAGTTGAGGGCCCCCCGCACCCCTCTGAGGGGGGACCAAAATTTTGACCCCCCCCCCAAAAAGATGGTCCCCTTTGAGATAGGAACATTACCAAAGTTTCATTACCCTAGCTCAATTCCTTCAAAAGATAGCAGGGGTGGGACGGACTTTTGGTACACCCTGTATACTATAAATCCTACACGAAATTGTACAATTTGAGGAGCACTTCGAACCATATGCTTAATTTCTGCGAAGAATGTGTGAATTTTTTACGACCCGGATTTTCAAATAAATAAATTAGTTTCACGTGCCCCAGAATTTACTTGAGTTTCAATCAGAAGTCGCAGTCGCAAGAATCACTTTCCCTTACATCCACTCAATTTTTTTCAGTATTAGGAGAGCATACTAACATCTATGCACTAAAGCCACCTTATTTTGGCTCTCTTTTGATAAACTCGTTTCAACTATGCAAAGTGGAATTGCACATACATTTACTCCCATAAAACCCATGAGCAAGACTCGTTGGAGTTTTACCAGTTTTCAGATTTTGACCGGAACACCCTCAATTGTTTTCTTTATAGACAGGAGCTTTAGAGGGTCAAATTTTTCGTAAGACCGGCGTGCTGACAAATATTAGCGAACAGAATTTAATAGACTGTTCAGGAAATTATGGAAATGTCGGGTGCAGAGGTGGTTTGATGACACAAGCTTTCAAATACGTGAAGGACAATGGAGGTGTTGAATCAGAGGCGGCTTATCCTTATGAAGGAGGGGTAAGAATTTTTCTTACCTTTTTCATAATATTTTATTCATTTATCAGCTTTTTGTAACTATCCACGAGAAAAAGGCCCTGGTAAAAATTGGCGATAGGAGCTGCGTTTCAAAATACCATAGGATTTCTTATGGCCGACTAAAGAAGGCTATAGAAAATCATATAGCTGGCTGTAGAAAGCGGAGCAAATCACATAGCCGGGCTATACGAAGCTATAAAAAAGTATACAATCGGGCTATAGTTTCTATCGCCGGGCTTTACACTTTATCGTCATTGGCTATAAAAGGCTATGAGAAATTGTGTAGAAATTCGTGTGCTTTGGAAATCATTAAGTTTTTTACGGAACTACCTTAATGTTTACAAGACACACATTATATTTTCCTTTAAAACACATTTTTTTTCATCAAATAAAATGAGAATAATCCATACAGAGTGTGCAAACATTTCAAAATCATGAGTTGAAAAACGCTGACTCCGCGAGATTAAATATTAGAGCCTAACACAAAGCGGAGCGGCGACGCACTGGCGCCTACAAACCTAACAAGGATACTTCACGCATTGCCCAATGCGTGAAGTATCCCTGTTAGGTTTGTAGGCGCCAATGCGAGTTTCGCGCTCTCTGCCCGCCCGCCGTGCCGCAGCGTGCCACGGCATCTGAAGCAACTAATTCACACCAGAGGTATTGCACAGTATCATAAGAAATTGAAGGCGCTCCAACATATTAAGAATGACATGCATCCTTCAAAAGTACGGAGCTTTCCTCGCAAAATAAATCAAGATACTACGGCACAAAAAGAGAGCGGTAATCCAAAAACCAACTAAGTCCTAGTATCCGTAATTAGTAACATTTAGCATAAACTTTTGCTCAATCGCCATCGGCTATAAAAGGCTATAAGAAATAGTACAGCCAGCTACAGAAGCTATTGGAAATCTTACAGCCGGCTTTAAGTCTATGGTATTTTGAAACACAGATTCTACTGCCAATTTTTACCAGGGGGACCTTAATCTACAATTAAATAATCTCTTACCTACTTAAATTATTGATACCACAGCAAGAGGGTTGATTCCAGAACATGTTGGGATAAAAAAAAAAAGTTTGAATACGAGACGTCAAACCAAACCGGAGATGGTAGTTTGAAGTTTCCAGTTAAAAAGCTTTTATTTGAAGGAAACGCTTTTTAAAACTATAATCTGCCTTCCTTTGTACGGAACATCGCTTAAACTTCAAATGTGGAAGTATGAATGACTTTTTATTTTATAGGAAAAGAGATGCCGGTATGTAAGAAATGGCTCAGTTGCCACTGATAGTGGATACATGAATATTAAAAATGAAGATGAAGAACATGTGAAGGCCGCTGTGGCTACAGTTGGACCAATTTGCTCTGCCATCGACGCAAAATATGACACATTCCATTTTTATTCAAGAGGTTTGTGAGCTGCATGCTTCCGATGTTGCTTTATTGAAGTGTAATGAAAAATTTTAACACAACCATGGGTCTCCTCAGACCCAGAAGAATGATCCATCCGCATGATACCACTATTCGAGCTTGAAGGAGCGCGTTTTGCCTATATTGTCGGATGCAGGCGAACCCGTCTGAGGATACTATTTTAGAGCGTGTATTGTAAAATGAGTTTACTGATGTTTCACTAAATCAGACCGTCGCGTCGTTGAGAAAATGCATCTTAGTGTATGGAGAGTAATTTTACAGGAAATATTGGGGAATTAATTGGGGGAAATATATAAGGAGGGAATATTACAGCCGGAAAATATTCCTGTAGGTCTATATAGTATTTTGGAACCCAGATCCTACTGCCAATTTTTACCAGGGATTGACCATTCCTAATTAAATACCTGAGTCAAGCTCGATCAACGATCCATGTTATCCTGTCAGATCGGTAGTCTTCAGGTCTTTTTTCTTCGTTTCTAGGTGTTTATCACGAACCGAGGTGTACCAATAACATAGATCTTCTTAATCACGGGGTGCTGATCGTTGGATACGGGACAGACCCGAAAAAAGGCGATTACTGGATCATCAAAAATTCCTGGGGTCCGAGATGGGGCGACAAAGGGTACATGCGAATTGCTAGAAATCGAGATAACCATTGCGGAACTGCCACCGCTTGCAGCTTTCCATTGGTGTGACCCTACCCGCTTTAATCAACCCTTTTTGAAGACATTGTTTTGTTGGATAGCTAATTTGATGTTGTCTTGAGTAACCAGATTGGACCCGGTGAGTAGCTACGGCTTTCTAAACATGTTGGATTTGTTGTTTCAATGTTAGATAATTGAACCGATTATTTTCCAAATCACGCAAGCGCCAAAATTGTGAATGCAAGAGAGACGAGAAACCCCGTTTTATTCGCTCTGTTGACAATCTTCGAATGCCAAAAAAAAGTATGTTCTTTTAGAAGGCGATTTTGAAAGCAGACAGGGTTGATTATACGAGAGAAAACGAAAAAAAAACCCTCTACCACCAAAATAGAGATTGGCGTTTTAGTGATTTGGAAAATAATCGGTTCAATTCGCCAATAGTGTAAAAACGAGGACGCTGACGACTTTGCACCCAAAGGGCAACGACCTGTCCGAAACAAGAAAAATATAGAAAGGCGAAAAAAATATTACCGTGCAAAGCGAGCCAGGAAGTTTCTGATTCCTAAATCAAGCCCCGTCTTTGGTATTGTCTCGTCCGCCATCTCCAAAACCCTCCATGACTTCTTCTTCGTCCTCCGGTATACTGACCAGCAGACGAAAAAATTCGACTCTAATAAGGGGGGTAACCGTACAGTTATTTGAAACGAACTTCACTTGCACTGATCCGTACGTGAACGCGGACATCTCGCTGGCTGTGAGGGCTGTTTTCTTGAGGTCTCATGTCCTCGAGTTGAAAATGTGGTGACCTGAATTAGTCTCATTAAAAATGAGTTGTACAGTAAAAGTAAACATAGAAATATTGGACGGTGGTTACATGGCCGGATTTACCTACTGCCGCCCTCCTCTTATTCATTTTGAAACATCAATACAAACCATCAAGTGAACGTGCCGGAGGGAGAAGGGTGCATGAGACGCGTTCTCTTGTGTTGGACACATTTTTTGCGTAAACCCTGCCAACATTACTAGCAAAAGTTCACGGAACTTCGCGTGAAAGTTCAGTTCCGTAAACCTATCTCTGTGGGGACAAGGCCTTTCATTTGTAAGAAAGGAACTAAAAAATTTTGAAAGAACAAACATAGTGTTTTATTTATTTTAATAATTTCCGCCGCTGCGCCGTGCCGCGTTGTCCACACTGTGTTTGGCGCAATGCGTGAAGTATTCATGTAGTCTTGTAGGCACTGAGCGTTTCACGCCGCCGCGCCGACCGCTGTTGACCGTGCTGCGTTTGACGCAATGCGTGAAGTATTCATTCAGTCTCGTAGGCGCTGATATATGTGTTACATGCCGACCGCCGCGTCAAGGGCTTCTCCTTTTCATCTCAAGTCCTCGTCATCATTTCTCTTTGCGCCGCTCCGCTCCAGGCCAAATTACGTGTTTGGTTTCTCTCTTAACTCAACTAATTAAAGGTGCGCAGTCTTTTGTATCACCGAAATACGACAAAATTAGAAATAAATGAACTCTCAGGAAATGAGAGATTTTGTCACCTTTTCTTGTTCGTAATTTTTTTCTGAATCCAATTTTTTTGTACCTGCATTTAAAAAATTGCAAAATTAGCCGCCCCCAATTTTGCCGCCATGGGCCGCGGCCCATGTGGCCACCCCCTTAATCCGGCCCGGGGTGGTTATAAATTTATTTCTTCTGTCGTCATTTCACTTGTGAATAAAAATAAAATAATATCCTCATTAAGTGGCTTATTGAGGATTAATGTGTCGTGTGGAAACAAAGCACCGTCGCTGGTACCGGGGAGCGAAAACATATGGCGCTCTTCGGAGCGAATAATGTAAAAATTGAGAAGGTTCGGTGGGCTGTGACGTCTTCTACATGAAATCAACGTAGAAACGGGAAAAATGGTCTGCTATGAAAAATTAAAACTCCGTGAGGCCATCGAATGTTAAATCGGCGGTCGGTAAGTCGCACAGGTTTTAAACTTCGGTGAGGGCTGCATAGTCGCCCTCGTTCAATGGTACCGGCGGTGCAGTGGCAAGGCGTGAGTGTTCGATTATAGATATATCTCCACCTGAAGCTATGGTAAAGAATCGATCATAAGGTGTTCACTGTGAACACCCTGTAAATCGATCCTTTCTCGTAGGTTTAAATGGCAGATCAATCGATATATCGCAAAGCACGTCACGTCACTGCGGCGGTGATGGTGTGAGTTTTAAAAATCGGAGAGGTTATTGCCCTTTGGGTGCAAAGTCGTCAGCGTCCTCATTTTTACACTACTTTCGCCGGTCGCGAGAAGCCCAGGAAAATGTGGAAAACCCAAAGCAAACAATTTGTTTTGAGTGAAGTTCTCGAGTATTTTGAATATTGAATGACCTGACCATTAAGACGGTACACGTGTTTTTTAGAGCCCTCACAGCAGAGTTCAAACCCACTGATAAAACATTACGATGCTCGAAGTGCGAAACCACGTATCTCCACTGCTATGTTTCAAAATCTCCGCTCCTATTTTATTTTTCCGAAGAGAAACAAGCCAATTTTACAGCTGGAAATGTACACAGAACATTTACACAATATTCATGATAGGGAAGAAATATCAAGGAAGTTTTCAAAAATTTACGTCGACTGTAGTTTTCCACAGAAAAGACCAGAAGCGTACCCAGCAATTTGGCAACACCGGATTTTCTCCATCTAAACCTATTCTGAATAATCGATTCTTGCCGGAGCACCTGACCCCTCCAAGAATCGATACATTTCCATATGTTTAAATAAAGGAAAGATAATGTTGCCAATTTGCCGGATCCGCCAATTAAAAAAATAAAGCATGGCAAGAAGTCCACAACGTTGCAATCGGAGGTACGAGGTTTCGCAATTTGGGCATCGATTATTTTCAGACATTTTGCGACACTGAAATTTGGTTACGTTCTTTCGACTGGAGGACGACGAAGTGCTCGAAAGGACCAGGAAATACGAACTACGAAACGTAGATGGATGATGGTCGAAAACAGAAGTGACACTATAGACCAAAGAAAAAGAAGAAGAAAAAGGAACCACTATCCAGACCTCGGCAGTTCTTAATGTCACGGGGAAAATCGATGGAATCCCCTGGTTGTTCCTCTGAAGCATCGTTTTGCAGGTGGTTGTGGCGCCACCTGCGCTTTTAATGGATACTTTCCGAGGAACATTATCTGTTTTTCTGTCGCAGGACATTCTAAGCCCCACTTCACCTACGTTATTAATGGTTCTTCCTCAACAGTTTTGCATCGGGCCCGATACTTTCCCGCCCTCTTATAATCGCAGCTTATTCTATTCCTAAAATTTTCCCGATAAATGTGAACATTATTTGAGGCTTTTTACCATGCTGCCATACGCCTTTTAAACATTTGAACTTTGCTAAATTGTGTGTGTGGCTGAGGTACACCTTTTTGAAAAACTTTTAAATTGCTTCCTTTGGATCTTTACACGGAGTATCAGGTTTGTTCCGAATTGGTTGGAATTTTCCACGAAAATGGTTTTTAATTTTTCTCGAAAATCATATTTTAACTTGGAAAATGTGGCAAGTTTGTTATTATGATCAAACGTTCTGGCTCATGCAGAACAGTGTAGGCTTATGCTTACGCTTAGAAACTCTTTAATAACATGATTTTTAAGAAGAAAAATACAACACATCCTTTCAAGTTTTGGAAAGGAATGGAGTAAAAAGTAAAGATTGCTATGACACTCCCATTGCCGAGCGAGAGGAATAAAACGCCTTCATTTCTGAGAGATGCAACACATCTAAGTTCCATGCGTTGAGCTCATGAAGGGGCTCTCTCAGAATCCTCAATGGAGTCTCAGAACGATTCTTTGGTTGATTTTTTTTTGGAAGGAGGAATATTTTGATTTTTTTCTCTTCTCGTTTTCTTCATGAGGCATCTCTTTCAATTCTCTGCGTTGCTTCTGTAGTGTCAGTAAAGTCATGTCGAAGAAAGTCTCAATGATACGAAAATTACAAAAAATACGTATTTCCGAAGTTATGTTTCTAAATTTTGGCTCCCAATCCATATTATTAGAAACTGACACCCAGAAAAGTTTTCAGAGAATATTATAAAAACAACACATCCCCTTTCCCAAGAAGAACTACGAAATTTTGTGCAAAGACGTATCTCAGCCATATTCTAACAATATGTTGTGAATTTAGATATTTTCATCTTCTCAAATAAAGAGAAGTGATTTTGTAGTGTTACTGTTACGTAAGGAGAGAGAGATTGTATTGTTGTAGCGTTATAGTATAGTTCTCTTTCCGAATTATTTGACAATGCGCTTGCATTGTTGTCATTGCATATATCCACTTTAATGATTTTAATTGTTAGTTGCGTAGTTAATGTATAGATTTTATTAGTTACCGATGTTAGAATTATAAAGATATTAGAAAAATATTCAGTGTAGTGTAAAATGGCAATTCACTTTCGGCAGTCTTGTTTTTTATCCAAAATTTAATAATCAAGAACATACTATGTCAATGGTGTCTCTGTGCCATTTTATTTTGTTTACTTTTGATGTTTGATGTTACTTATTGATAAGTGTAAAAATTAAAGAGAATCTAGTTAGTTATTCTTACGTTATACCTCTGTACCATTTTATTTAAAATTATAGATCTAAACATACCCTTGAAAAACTGTTGGTATCGCAAGCATCAAAATACACGCTTGAATAATAATAATAGGTCTTCAACGATGAAACGGAAAGGAAAATTGCAACCAAATGCATAGGTAATTAAAACTTTCCAACCTGTCAAAATATGGAAAGAAGCGTATACCTACATTGCAAAATTTTTTATAGGCATTTCATAATTACATTCATCTCAATCCACTTAGAAATTTGAAATTCAGCTTTTTCACTTTATTGATGACTAAAATTATAAAGCTGCGTATCTGGACCGAGGTATTCCAAATTTTCTAATCCTACTACATAATCATTTCTACGGAAAACAAGTAAATTTTACTATTTGATATTTTCACAGAATCTTCTGCCAGGGGATTAAAAAAATCAAGGAAATCGCCAAGAAATTAAGAACATCATGATTAGTACATTTCTCCGATGAAAAAATAAAGTAGGACGCTTGTCGCAAGTCTTTAACGCTCTAAACATGGCACGAAGGCTTCGAGTCTAATCATCAACATATCGATGGCTAAAGTTCTATTGAAGCAAAGTGAATTTAGACTCGTACAACTCGTATAAAAATCACATAAACTTACAGCGAAAAAAATGTGATTAGTATTGCTTGAAGAAAATGAAACATATTATTGCGGCGAATCATAAACGTTCCAATCAAGCATTTTTCGCATTCAGCATCAACATATAATCTTCCTTGAAACACATCGGGCAAAAATAACCTAAAACTTCTACACATACGGCCATTTTTCACGTACTGTTCACTTCCGGAGCAGGGCAGTATGAATGGGGATGAAAAAATGAGCGGTCATCTCACCGTACATTAAACATCCCCCACATTCGAAGCAACCCCTCCCATGCCGTCCTTCAGTCTGACCAATACAGCGGGACCCAATGAGCTCAACCGAGCTCCACCCATCCATCCCCTCCGTAATGTTCAAAAGACCCAACACCACTCACAAACCCCTCTGGTAGCCACCCTACCGCTGTTTCGCGCCTCATGGCAGTGGTCAAGATTGGTAGGGGAAACGTTAGTTGCACTTATCCTAAGTAAATTATGAATTTTTTTTTGAAATTTTTTGCAACTTTTCGCGTAATGAAAGTATTTGAGTACAAAAACTCGAGGACTAAAAATTTGAGGACCACCCTTAGCGGCTACGAACGTAACCATATAGGGAGAGTAATGCCGTGTCCATGTGCTCTTCATGATTGGTCGTCCAGTTTTAGGATTCTTATTGACAAACTGATTGCGGTAGACGTACCAGTTGTAAAACAGCAAATTGGAATCTTTTAGCCGTAACGTGCGTTAAAAATCAGAATAAAGCTGAAAATCTCAATACAGAAGGAAAAAGCTCTTATGAGTACAATTTTCCCTCAAAGGGATCAGAGGCGGATCCAGCAATTTGGCAACACCGGATTCTCACCATTTAAACCTATGTTAAATAATCGATTCTTGTCGGAGCACCTGGCCCCTCCAAGAGCCGATATATTTCCATAGGTTTAAATGGAGAAAAACAGTGTTGCCAAGTTGCTGAATCCGCCTATGAAAGGGATACACTGTTTGGTGCAACATTAGTGGCGACGTTGGCTAAAAAATTCCAACTTACATTCATATTGAGCTGTCAAAGTCCAAAAACCAAGCTTTATCACCAGCAAGTATCATTAAATACTTTCAGCGATCTTAAATATTAATTGGTGGAGGGGATGGTGGGGGGGGCATTTTACATGATCTTCGTCGTTAGAAACCAAAAGAGGAAAAAAGAATGAAAAACCAAGATGAATTTATTTACTCTGTCGTTTTGACGCGTTGTTTGAAAACTGACCTTAATATTCCGGTCACAAAGGAGGAGGAAACCCTTCCATGGATGGGCAATAAAAGGTTGGATGGAAGAGGAAAAGAGAAAGAAAAAAAGAAGAGAGAGAAAATAAAAGCCTGGATCGGATCAACAGAGCGGGTGATAAAAAAATCGTTTGTTTTCAAATTGGCCGAGTGATGGGGATGTCGGACCTCAATTCGATAGAATCAAAGTCGGTGTACGCTCGATTCACACCAGGCGATAGTCTTTCACAGAAAATAAATCGAAATTCGATCGGTCGAACTGCGATAAATTTGCACGAGCTTTAATGATACCAAATAGCAATGGAACGATCGAAGTTGGATAGGTTGGACGTATTTATGCTAAAAGGAACTATGTGCATAGGGTTTGCTTGATACATAGTTCCTTTCGGCATAAAGGCGCTCAGTTGTAAATGCGGATGTAGCGAACTAATCCACATCCGCGTGTTTAAAGTCTGATTTCGCGGATCCATAATTTATTAAAATATGAGGTGGGGTTGGGATCAAGTTGAATTTTGCGTTGACTCCAGGCTGTCAGATCGTGCGGGAAAAGGACCTATTTTGTGCTGCAAGAACCTGAAAAGGTGCGTTTTTTTCTCAATTACTGGCGACCACGGTGAAGGTGAATCGGTGGCAGTACAACAAGCTCTGAAGCTAATATCAGGACAAACGTGCTGCGACTCGGAATCACCGCATTCGGTTGAATTCTTTCCGATAAACAGGACCATTTGCGCCGAATAAAAACCGCGAGATCCGGATTTATGCAACGAATGCGCACCTAGCTCTTTTGCGCCTTCATTCTCAGCCGAGGGCTTCCCGCCACGCAGCGCCAGTTTCGTCTTATTCGGGCTCAATTAGAGTAAAGCCCTCTTCATTGACAATAAAAGTTACGGCAATGGAATCTATTTCTGACTGGTTTAGACCCTGTAGGTCTCCTATTGTTGCAAGCAGTTGGAACTCACATACAGGGTGATCCAAAAGTCCCTTCCACCCCCTCTAACTTTTTACCTAATTGAGGTAAAGATTTGAAACTTGGGGGATATTCCTAGGTCAAAAGGAGCTACTTTTTGGCCCCCCTAAAATTTTCAGGGGGGCCCCCCTTGGGGGGGCAACGGCCCCCAACTTTTAATTTTCAAATGGGAAGACCCCCTTTGTGATAGCTCGTTCGAAAGAGCATAAAAAAAGAAAACTTTTCGCGCAAACCCGAAGTCAATATCTCAAACCGTTTCAAAATGGCGACCGGTTAAAGTTCAAAATGGCCGAAAATTCACACGGTTATTTGTCGATGGATTTGCGCGAAAATCGGTATGTAGGGGTATTTTGACACGAGAAAAACGAATTTGACGTTAGATTTTCAAAAAAACCAAAATTTCCAAAATGGCCGCCGGTTAAAGTTTAAAATGGCCGAAAATTGTCACCTCGGTTTTTTGCTGATGGATTTGCCTAAAACTTGGAATTTGAGAGTATTTTGTCATAAGATAAACAAATTTGAACTTAGATTTCTAAAAAAAATCAATTTTTGGTCATTTTGAACTTTGACCGGCGGCTATTTTGGAAATTTCGGTTTTTTCGAAAATCTAACGTCAAATTCGTTTTTCTCGTGTCAAAATACCCCTACATACCGATTTTCGCGCAAATCCATCGACAAATAACCGGTGTGAATTTTCGGCCATTTTGAACTTTAACCGGTCGCCATTTTGAAACGGTTTGAGATATTGACTTCGGGTTTGCGCGAAAAGTTTTCTTTTTTTATGCTCTTTCGAACGAGCTATCACAAAGGGGGTCTTCCTATTTAAAAATTAAAAGTTGGGGGCCGTTGCCCCCCCAAGGGGGGCCCCCCTGAAAATTTTAGGGGGGCCAAAAAGTAGCTCCTTTTGACCTAGGAATATCCCCCAAGTTTCAAATCTTTACCTCAATTAGGTAAAAAGTTAAAGGGGGTGGAAGGGACTTTTGGATCACCCTGTATAGCGAGGAACAGGCGAATGCAATACCAGAGGGCACTGAAAAAAAAAGATTGGTACAATTTACCATTCCTTCACACTGTATTTCACACAGCGCGAAGGAATGGTAAATTCTACCAATCTTCAAGTCGATTCTGCCAGAGAAATGGTTACCTGTACCAATATATGTATGGTAACGTTTACATTTTTTCTGGAAGAATTTACTCTAAATTTGACGCTGTGTGAAATGCAGCGTGAAAGAATGGTAAATTCTACCAATCTTTTTTTCAGTGGGAGCTAGACTATTTCGGTGATGGAAATGGACCACATTTTGCAATAATTCAAAAACTTTGATGTCAGGGTGCTATCTTCCCTGCATAGACGGATCCAGACACTTCTTATCGGGGGAAGGGGGGGGGGAGAAAGATGGTTTGAGGGGCTTCTCCCAAAATTTTATCGAAATTTTATAGCAACTAATATGCAGTTTGAGTCAATTATGTCATAAATAATAATTACAAATATAAGCGTCATATGCTCTTCTTTTCTCTTTTCCTTCCTCTTACTTCTTTCTTTCTATCGTCCCATTTTCCTTTTTCTTCTTTGAAGAAAGAGGGGGCGTGCGCGTGCACCCCCTACGCCCCCCTGAATCCACCTATGCTTGCTGGACATTTTTCAGGTTAAAATTGATACCTAATCATACTTTCTTCTGATTTTCTGAGTATAGATAAATATATCTGCCTCACTAAAGAAAACAGCGTTTGAAGACTAAATTGGTTTAAAAACACGCTTTTCTTTCATCGGAGCCCAACGAGAATCGGCAGCGGGAGACACCGACACCGCGGACCGGAGAGACAAAACGAGTGAAAGGATAAACAGAGAGGAGACACCAAATAAATTACTCGTCGACAAATCTTTTTGTATGCGGCGACCCGTTTTTGTGTTTTCCAACGGTGTTATTGTGAGCACGAAAACAAGGCCGCATGCCGCGATGCTTCACTATCTGCCCGCCGCAGCGCTGTCAGTCCGAAACGGCAAAGCTCAGAACCGAGCAGCTTTCACGGCCGGAAATGTCGATTTGTTGAGAGATCCGACAACGACGCGGCGAACCCGCCACCCCGCTGCGCCGTGAAGGGCGCACATTAAGGGTTAACTAGGAAAAAAATTATTCGGCCTT